CAGAAGACAGTGTTGCATCACAAGAACATAATTGCTACGCATGTTGTGGAACATGTCTTTGGAAGAAAACTGACACCTTTTTCACCCTTTAGCCCTGCACAATAGTTTTTATCTTCCTGGATCTATATCACAGATAGTTCTTCATGCAGCCCCTGGATACGAACATCTTCCAAAGCCTGCAGTTTTGTTTTTGAAGAACAAGACCAGCTGTCAGATTTAGACAGACAAAGAGAGGCCGCAGCTGTTTTAGATGATTCTCGGGAATCATCTGAAACAGTGGATGACGATGGCTCCTCTGATTATGACTCTGAATCTTCTATTGATTCAGATTGCAGCAGTGACGGTGATGAAAGAACAGTGTCTAATGGTGTCAATGATCCAGGTGCTCCTTTAATTCAAATTTCTGTGACTTCGGTTTTCAATGACCCAGAAGATTAAAGGTCCCGTTTTGGAGCTGGAAATAGGGGGAACACATTTGCCTCCAAAAAATATTTTGTATTTTGTGGACCTAATTTTGTTATATTTCCTTATATATTTATAATATCTTTTATTAAAAGAAGGGTAATTTAGTCATTTTGTACATAAAAGGGGTATTTTTAAAAATGGACATCCAAAAGGGGCATTTTTGAAAAGGGGTATTGAAAAAGGGGCATTTTTGTGAGTCTCCCTTTTTTTTAATTAATTAATCTTTTAAATTATGAAGTCAAATTTATGAAACTAAGGAGAATGTTGTAGTTATTTGTAAAATGATTACTGGATCTCGTTGAAATAAACATAAATTTTAAAGGAGAATTTTTTTGTTTTCTTTTTCTTACGATTTCACTTTTGTTTTAATTTTTTTTAAAATAATTTGTACACACGTTAACTGGATTTAGTTTTTTTGTTTAATTATATAATATTGTTATTTGTTTTCCTTTTTTTCCCATGACATCTTTTTTCTTGGGAGACTCACAAAAATGCCCCTTTTTAAATATCCTTTTTCAAAAATACCCCTTTTAGCTGTCCATTTTTAAAAATACCCCTTTTTATGTACAAAATGACTAAATTACCCTTCTTTTAATAAAAGATATCACAAATATATAAGGAAATATAACAAAATTAGGTCCACAAAATACAAAATATTTTTTGGCGGGTAAAGTGATCCCGTAATTTTTCCCACCAAAATACTTGTAAAAACTTGTAAAACCTTTTTTTCCGTAAAATTTTTCCCGTGTAAAATTTTCCCGCGAAAATTTTTTTTTTGCGGGAAAAGTGATTCCGCAATTTTTTTGGCGTTAAATTTTTGGCGGGAAAAATTTACAAGGTATTTTGAAGGTTTTTTACAGGGTATTTATAAGGTTTTACAATGTATTTTAAAAGGTTTTACAACGTATTTATAAGGTACTTATAAGATATTATAAGAATTTACAGGCTATTTTATAAGGTTTTACAGTTATAAGGGTTTACAAGTTTTTATAAGGTTTACAAGTTATAAATACCTTATAAAACCTTATAAGTACCTTGTAAAACCTTTTAAAATACATTGTAAAACCTTACAAAACACTTGTAAATACTCTGTAAAAACCTTTAAAATACCTTGTAAATTTTTTCCGCCAAAAAAATTTCGCCAAAAAAATTACGGAATCACTTTTCCCGCAAAAAAAAATTTTTAGCGGGAAAATTTTTTGGCGGGAAAAATTTTTATGGGAAAATTTTACAAGGTATTTTAAAGGTTTTTACAAGTGTTTTGGGGGGAAAATTGCGGGATCACTTTTCCCGCCAAAAAATATTTTGTATTTTGTGGACCTAATTTTGTTTCAAATAAGTGTAAAATGGTCATTAAAAATTAAAAGAGGGCAAACTTAAAAATGGACTCTTAAAGGGGGCATTTTTGAAAAGGGATATTAAAAAAGGGGTATTTTTAACAATTTTTTTTTAAAAATAATTTGTACACACGTTAACTGGATTTAGTTTTTTGTTTAATTATATAATATTGTTATTTGTTTTCCTTTTTTTCCCATGATCTCTTTTTTCTTTTGTAATTTTTTTTTAAAAATAAATTAATTTGCTGATATGTCAAAATTTTATTGGTAGAGTGACTTGTGCTTTATAAGATAAATGATACTTACTAACCGGTAATTTGAAAGTTGTAGTTTTAATTAGGAAGGGGTATTTTAGTAAATCTAAAAGTAACGGACTACAAGTATGGGAGAGTGTTTTCCGAAAAAAAGTTCCGTTTTAAGTCTTTTTTTTGTCCGGTAAACGAGTAATTTGATAACTTGACCGACCACATTTAACTTTTTAGATTTGACTCTCTAATCCCGGTAACCGCTAATCAGTAATTTGAACTCATAGAGTTAGGGGTACTTTAGTAATTTCCGATATAACGGCTATATGAACGAGGCCGTGTTTTTGAAATTTCAGATGGTTTCCTTTTATTGATTTGATCTCTCTCGCATATGAAGAAGAGTCGACTCGTCAAACCAACATCTCAAGTCAAATCTCTTCGCTGGGTACAACAAATCCTTCTTCTAATCTGTATCGATTTCTCCTGAATTCTTCAATTTCAACAACGTAATCTGACCCGACCCGCTTCACCTGATCGGATTTGGCAATCAACGAACAACCATTCAATATCTTCGTCTCGGTATTGAATCCTTCTTCTAAATTGTGTTGATTTAGGCAATTCCGATAATTCCGATCTGATTTATGAATTAGGTGTTTCTCTGTTACTAGATTCGAATATTGTTACACGAGAAATCAAACTCCCGGATTTAGGGTTCCGTCAGATTGATCTGTTTACGAATTGTGTGTTAATCTTCCTGCTTATATGAACCCAGAGGTCGATTGGTATTGTTATTTCATCGATACCAATTCTATGATAGTTTTGTGTTTTGACAGGAAGATCAAAGAGGATTCTGATTCATGATCTTCAAGGACAATAAATCCATGGGATACTATCAAAGAGATAGTAAAGGAGAACGTGGTGGTGACTGGTGAATAAATCCATGGGACACTTACTATCTGTAGGTACTTGCAAAAGCTATTGACCCTTGCTGTCGCAGTGAATATAGGAAGAAACCTGAGCGGCTAAAGTGGAAGATCTTTCTGGAATTACGCAAATAATCAAACCTCTGGGAGGATCTGGGGATGAGGAGGTTAGCCTGAGGTTCCACTTCTCATTGTTTCAGTGTTTAGCATCAAAGGGCTAATGGGTTTTTGGTGTTCAGTTACTTCGAGCTTTGGCTTCGTTTGTGGTTGTGGAGAGGGAAGGGCATTGCTTATGCGGCTTTGTTCCCTTTCTTTGGAGAAAATTATGGAGAAGTTTCAGCTATGGTAGTTGCATCAGATTGCCATAGACAAAACCAGGGAGATAGATTGTTAGGTATAATCACAAAACTTTTGACCATTGTGTTTTAGAATATACAGTTAAGAGAAGGCCGGTTTCTTGACTGTGGAATTTTCAGATTACATTGAGAAGAAAGCGTCAATTCAAGATGCTTTTTGAAAACGAGAATTGCAGACTGGTTTGTTAGACGCAATACCCAAAATAAGAGAACAAACTTTGTCGAACTGTGGTGTTAAGGTTTATATTTCTCAGACCTTCTTTTGTCGAACTTTTGTCTGTCTTATCTTACCCCCTGATCTTCTTTTCAAGAGTTCATTCTCCATGGATGTGTAAGTTACTTTCTCTTGGAGCGGGTTCTTATACATTGCAGCACTGATCTCTGATCTCTATCATGTTTGTACGCTATTGAGTATCTCTGAACTCGGGCTTCATGTGAGACTGTTCAAAACTCCATGTTTAAAGTTTGATTCTAATGTTTTTATTTTCGATTTTTACCTTGGCAGGAGCGCATACAATCAAACGATGACATAAACTTGGTGAAAAAAGGTGTGCACAAAGCCAGAATAATGCAGCAGCTTGAGTTTAGTATCTCTGTAGGTACTAGATCGACAATCAGACTCTTAACTATTATCTACCATATCTTTTTCTCTACTCTTACATTTTATCTTTACCCTGTTAGATTATTAGCTGTATATGATTGGTCATCACTTCAATACATCTGCAACAGCATTGATCATGTTGTTATTATGCAGGGAATCATATCCAGTTGTCTATCTTACTCCATGATCTTCGTTTCGATAATTCATTACTAGTACTAGCTGCAGACATGTCTGTTCGATTGAAACCAGTTATTTAAAAGTGTATAATATAGAACCAATGATGTAATTGGGAAGATTAGTCATGGTTTTCATATGCTACCCGGATTTTCTCTACCATATCGTTTGATTACTTGTAAATAGTGTGGCCTTCGATTCAATTTCTTTGCAGGAACAATGATCATGTTGTTATTCTGCAGAGAACGATATTAATCCAACTCTTCTTTTCGGGAGTTCAATCTTCATGGATGTGCACCAAATCCAGGTTCTCTATCTTCTATATGACATTTAAAATTCTGTGAATTGAATTATTTTCTTATGCTCTGGCATATATGAACTCTTTGACATTCAAGGTAGAGGACAAGTGTTCTAATGTGTTTTTCCTTGTGCTATATCTTCATGATTGTCCGAGATGTCTGGGAATTGGCTCTGCTAGGATCTCTTCTGAAGGTATGTGTTTGAAGTGGACAAGAGTGTGCTCGCGGAAGCTGACCACTCATAACTAGAACTTTACATGCACAAAACTAAATACGATACAATTATACAAACCTCACATACAACAAAAACAAAAACAAAAAGTCAAGCTAACCACTTAAGATAATAATCTCACACTTAAAGTAATAATCTCACAGACACCACACTATACAAATACAACAAAAATATGCACGTAAAAGACTCACAATCAACATTTTATTAATCCAATCACAAGAACTCTTTCATTTGAAATAGTTTTAAGAAATATTTTGGCGTTTATCATACACCAGTAAAATACTTTATAGAAGATGCAGCAACATAATTTTCTTGCTTGATTCATTTGATTAGAAGTGATTTTGTCAAGTGATATTTGTGTGCAGTGACTTCCGCAAAAACTTCGTTTCAAAAAATGGTGTTAAGGTTGGTAGTATCTGTGAGCTCCAAACAGCCATTGCATTTTGTATTTGTAAGGTATCGGATTCTCTCTTTTCCATGTTAGATTATTGGTTGTTAGTAAAAGCCGCTGATTCAATGTATTTAGCAGCAGCAATGATCGTGATTTTTCTGCAGAGGATGGTATTAAGTAATGCTGACATGCTTTTGGCTGTCTTTTTACTGCTCTTTGTTTTGAGGGTTCATTTTTCATGGATGTGCATCAAAAATGGGTTTTCTGTATATATTATCTTTGTTTGTTTTTGTGTATGTAGTTACAGTTACTTCCTCTACTTATACCCGTCTAACAATGGGACACATCTACAATTGATTTTGGTTTTTACCATTGATTGTCAGAGTTGCTGAGAACAAACGGATATGCTTTCTAGAGTTCTGCATTTACCTTTTGTCTCCGATCTCTTCTGAAGGCTAGAGTTCTGCATTTACCTTTTGTCTCCGAACTCTTCTGAAGGTATGTGCTTGATCAAACTTGTGAATGAAGAATAATCTGACCATGATGTAATGGCTAATTATTAAAAAAACTTTGGCTAATCATTAAAGATCAAATAAATGGCGTTAAATAAATGATTATTTGTTGTATACGTTGTTAAATTCGATTAAACAGGGGTCGAATCAATATAGGCCTTTCAATGGGCTATTTCTCAGACTAGATTGTATGTTTTCTACCACAATGCATGTGTGCAATAAGGCAAGAGTCCTTGCTCTCTAGTATAACCAAAAGTTTTCTACTACGTGACAGGTTAAAAAGTTCGCTGGCGTTTTCTGCCACATGACGCAGATCTCGCATTGTATAACTCTCTGTAAGGTTTCTAAGACGTTTGGTTGTCATTGTTATTGTGTAAGGTGACTGTGAGATTGTATGAAACTTCATGTTTAAAGTTTGGTTCTAATGTTTCATTTCCTATTTTAGTTTGGTAGGAGCGAGCTCATACAAGCAAATGAACATAAACTTGTTGCTAAAATGGTGCACCCAAGGCCAGAACAGTGTAGCAGCTTGAGTTTAGTATCTCTAGGTGCTAAATCGGTATTTACCGGGTTTTTTTTTCTCTACTCTGTTACAATATTTCTCTACCCTGGGAGATTATTAGCGCTGTATATAATTTTCCTCTCTTCAATACATTGCAGCACTGATCTCATCGTTCGATGCACGGAATTATATCAACCCAAACTGTTGTCTGTCTTATCTTACCCCCTGATCTTCTTTTCAAGAGTTCATTCTCCATGGATGTGTAAGTTACTTTCTCATGCTGTAGCATCTCAGATCTCTATCATGTTTATACGCTATTGAGTATCTCTGAATTGGTAGATAACTAAACTTAATTGCTTAGATGATTCAGGTAACTTCTCTTGGAGTAGATTTTTAGAAAGTTTATTTTTCTCTCCAGTTTGTAGCTTTGTATGTTCTTAGTCAAAGCTTTATTCACTCTTCTCATATCTCTTTGTAGGGTGAAATCAATAGAAGAAAAAATTACTGGGGAGGCGAACAAGTGAAGTACTCTCTCACTCTCTTACTTCAATTTGATGCATAAGTCCCACACTTTCGGAAAATACAAATACACTAAAACACCACAAAGCAAAAAAAAACAACAACAACAAACTCAACACTCATAACAAATACTTATCATGCACGAAACTAAATACAATACAAACCTCAAACACAACAAACAAAATCGTCAAGCAAAGCACTCAAAAGAAAAGATCCACGGACAGCACGCTATACACAAACACTGAAACACAACTCAAATTTGTACACGTAACAGACTTTGCAAAAACATGAAATAATTTCTAATCACGAGAAGTTCCTTCTGGTTTTCCATACATATAATTTCAAGCATCATTGATCTTTTTATGATTGTTGTATAATTATTTGATTTGTGTATGATAAATGCCAAAATATATAGTTGGAGTTCTCATTTTTAAATTATATTCGTCCTTCTCAGTTTTTGGTTGACGAGTACTTGTTGCATTTAAGTTATTTTGTTTAAATATTGTTGTATAATGACAGGATTTATTGGTTAATTCTTTATCTTTTAAGCACCCCTCGCCTAAATCGAACTCGATAGCAAAAGAAATTGCTCACAGCGTAACTAGAGAGGGTCGTATGACATCGTATCTCGCCATTGGAGGACCTTCTTGGTTGCATTCTCGAATTAAAGATGGAAAGCGGAATTGAGTGTTTAAATCTTGTTTATTTTTGAGCTATGTTCTGCTCTGTTTTAGTAATTGCTCTGTTTTTTCCCTGGGTTTAAAGAAAAAAAAGAAGTCAAAGTGAACCGGTCGGTTATTAAAATTGGAAATGAGATGATGAAATCTTGACCGTCAAATACCAAAAAATGATCCAACGGTGCTGAAAAGTGAAATCTCCATCTTCAGGTTAGTTTAGGGTTTTTCAAAGATCGAGAAGAAAAAAAAAACACAATCGAAGAAGATGAGGTTGCATTGGCAGCGAAGAGATTTGTTCACCTGAGGAAAGCTTCTCCGTCGTTTTCCCTTCGAGGTGTCAATTTCTCTGGTGCGAGTTATGACTACAGAGATAACTTGAGTAGAAATGCGTTACTCGATTTGAAGTTAGACGATGCTGTTCATCTGTTCGGTGAGATGGTACAGTCTCGTCCTTTACCTTCCATTGTTGATTTCAGTAAATTGTTGAGTGCCATTGCTAAGATGAACAAGTTCGATGTTGTCATCTCTTTGGGCGAGCAGATGCAAAATTTGGGAATTTCACATGATCTCTATACTTACAGTATTTTCATTAACTGTTTCTGCCGACGCTCTCAGATCTCTCTTGCATTAGCTGTTCTTGGCAAGATGATTAAACTCGGTCATGACCCCGATATTGTCACGCTTTCTTCGCTGCTCAATGGCTACTGTCACGGTAAGAGGATATCCGAGGCTGTAGCTTTGGTTGATCAAATGGTCGAAATGGGATATCAACCTAATACTGTTACATTTAACACGTTGATTCATGGGCTTTTTCTCCACAACAAAGCTTCAGAAGCAGTGGCGCTAGTTGATCGGATGGCTGTGAAAGGCTGTCAACCAAATCTGGTTACATATGGTGCTGTAGTAAATGGATTATGTAAGAGAGGTGATATTGATTTGGCTTTAAATCTGCTCAATAAGATGGAGAAAGGGAAAATAGAGCCAAATGTTGTAATCTACAGCACAATCATCGATGCTCTTTGCAAGTACAAACATGTGGATGATGCCCTCAACCTGTTCAACGAAATGGAGAAGAAAGGAATTAGACCTGATGTTGTTACCTACAGCTCCCTCATAAGTTGCCTTTGTAATTACGGAAGATGGAGTGATGCCTCTCGACTGCTGAGCGATATGATCGAGAGGAGAATCAACCCCGACGTAGTTACTTTCAGCGCATTGATCGATGCGTTTGTGAAGGAGGGGAAACTTATAGAGGCTGAGAAATTGTACAAGGAGATGATCAAAAGGTCTATAGATCCTGATATTTTCACTTACAATTCATTGATCAACGGGTTTTGTATGCACGATCGTCTAGATGAGGCCAAACAGATGTTTGAGTTCATGGCTAGCAAGGATTGTTACCCAAATGTAGTGACATATACTACTCTCATAAAGGGATTTTGCAAGTCTACGAAGATTGAAGATGGTATGGAACTCTTCCGGGAGATGTCTCAAAAAGGATTGGTTGGCGATACAGTCACTTACAACACTCTTATCCAGGGGTTATTTCAAGCTGGAGATTGTGATATGGCCCAAAAACTATTCAAAGAGATGGAATCTTTTGGTGTCTACCCCAATCTTTGGACCTACAACATTTTATTAGATGGACTTTGTAATAACGGGAGCCTAGAGAGAGCATTGGTGGTATTCGAGTGTTTGCAGAAGAGTGAAATGGAACTTGAC